GACCAATATCACAGCCTCTTGTAGTATTCACTTTTTCGAGATGCTTTTCTGGGTTTTTGGTAAAAATTGTGATATTTTCGGAACGAAAATGAGCACTAAGTATTGTTTTGAGCATGTGAAGACGAAGCGCCGTTTTACTTGATTTTGGATAGTTTTATAGGTGAGCCTTTTTAAAATGTCGTTCTTAAGCGAAACAAATCGCTTCTTAGTATTCTTTCTCCGAAAAATAATTCCTGAAAAATCTCGTTAGCATTATTTAAAGTGATATCAACATGCTTTATTTTGCCGTACGTTAATAAAGAATGATTAGTTCTATCGATCATTCGAACATGAAGTATAAAAGAACGACTGAATCGTTGTTGAAACTTTTCTCTTTTTTTTAGCGCTCACTATTTAACATATGTAATTCATAACTTCGTTCAATGGATATCCTCAGCTCCTGATTGCATTTTCTCAAAGTTTCATTGCTCTTCTTCTCTCTCGCTCTGCTAATACAAACATCGAAGAATAAAAAGAAAAAGAAGCATCATGACCCATGTATTATTTGATTTCATAATGAGGGATTTTTCTCATTTGGTTATCTGTAACAACGACGACAGAATAAGAAAAAAAAATCAAATAACCCATTATTGAATATATCTATGACCAGACTGTTCGCTAGTATATGGAAAAATCTTGCAGATTATCTTCTTCTATTCGAGATTGTTATTTTCATAGAACAGAAAGACAGTTCTTTCTTCTCGTTGTCTCATCAAGTAGTTTGCTACGATGTACATCATGATGATGTTTTCTATCGTGTAAAAAATGGATAGCAGTATCAATCATCGATGAGACGACAAATTAGTAATGGAAAAAGAGAGAAAAACCCATACTGAATCGAGTGATGACATTCTTTAGACGAGTAGAGAACGGTTTATCACTAACCACTTGAAACATAAGCAAAATATCATTCGCATGCCATAGATATATGCATACACACATATCCGCACATATTCATGCTAAAATTGTTGTAGCGTTGCTGTTATATCCTTTCTTTGCTGATGTGTATATATGTTTATTCAAAATGAAGATAATCCGAGCCCCCCCTACATAGAAACAGCAGGTATTTATATTAGATGAGGTCTGGAATATACCAATAGAAAAAACAATACTCTTGGAAAATTCCTGAGTTATTAGATCAAAGCAAGAAAGATAGAAATGGAAAAGACCAAGAGAACACACTAGGAAACATACTTGACAGAACGAAAGAAAGAAGATATATGTATAACATATATATGCAAAGATAGAAAGAAAGAAATTAAACGAATACAGATGGGTAAAACCCTACTGCAATTCACCTTATGGCACATCTTAAGCACGTGGCATAACGATTGTTAACAGACGTAACCTTGAATATTATTTCGCTCTTGTGCCTCTTATAGTCAACATTCATCGTATTAGAACAGATAGAGTACAGTATAAAGAACATTAGTTAGGCCTAGTACTTCAATATCAATATCTATTATATAGTATCTTCGATAGTAATTAAAAATCTACCCAATCTAAACCATGTAGTAATTGGGTTTAAGTTTGTTCTAATAATTGTGGGTTCGAGTGTGAGTCTAATACCTGAACTCACTAAACAATTTCAGTTTGAGTATAATTCCGTCTGTCTCGCGTCGCTTATGTATAATCAAAATATTGGTTTTGTGTAAATATACAGTACGCGCCAATTGATTCCCTCCCCCCTTTTCATTTTTATCGTTTTTATCACTAGGCTTATGTCATTGTTTAACCTCCTGTATATAGGAAGAAAACCTGGAACGCGCAGCATTTTATGGTATATTTATGTTGAACAACAAATGCAGTTTGACGTATGAAAAGTGTCACTTTTTAATTACAATTTACACCCACATCTATCATTCATATCACAACAAAAGAAGAGTGAGTATTTTTGGAATGACGTTTGATCGAAACAAGATAGAGACCTGTGGTTTTCACCATTCGAAAGACTCGATGCAGATTCATCTCCTCTTTCGAATGGTGAAAACAGCAGGTCTCCATCTTGTTTCGATCAAAAGTTATTCTAAAAATATTCACTCCTCTTTTGTTGTGATATGAATAATAGATGTGGATGAAAATCGTGATAAAAAAATGAAACTTTTTTCCTCTAATATCCTTTTCATACTGCAAACTGCATTTGTTGCTCAATATAAATATGCCATAAAATGCAGCACGTTTCGGGCTTTCTTCCTGTATACAGGCGGTTGAAAAATAACACAAGCCTAGTGATAAAAACGATAAAAATGAGAAGGGGGAAAATCAATTGGCGCGCACTCTGAATAAAAATATATTTCGATGTTTCACATTGTCAAGTATTAAAGTGAAATTATTTGATAAATATAAGTACTCGACCAATATCACATCTTCTTTTCGTGTTCACTTTTTGGAGATGCTTTTCGGGTTTTTGGTGTAAATCGTGATAGTTGCTTGGACGTCAAATTGACATATATATCGAGATGCTTCCTTAATCCTTTCAGGACCGGCTTATTTTGAGCAAAAATTACAAATTTTTCAACTTTTCAAAAAATGATTCATTTTTGCCAGATTTATCAAAATGTGATATTCTTTGAAACAGTTGGTATTACACAGTGGAATATCACAATCTGGACAATAAAATCTTGTATCGCTCCGTTTTTTTTCTCTCTTGACTGTATGACTGCAGATGAAACAGCTTTTCTGCACATTATTTTCGGGAATAAAAGCGATGAAATGACGAGCAGTGAGGCGTAGTGGACAATCGATTGATGGTCTGCCTTTCATCTGTGACTGCTTTGATCCGTATTATTCAATGAGCTCTCGAGCAAGTTGCAGACGAAACTCTGAAAGTTCGGAATTTTTCTCGTTTTTCACCTTGTACATGGCATAAGAGTTCTGTACAGTGATATCAAATAAATGGAAAAACAACTTGTTTTACCATTTTATTGTTTTCCGTAGACATTCCGAGAAACTGTTTTGCATGTCTACTTGATCCACTGCTCCCATATTTTTGTTGTATTGTACAATGCAGAGAGGTTTCTTGATTTTTCGGCCTGTTTCTCTGTCGCTCTTCCCAGTTTCTACCATGACAGGTTCATGCAATGTAGTAAGCATGTCCACTTCTCTTTTGTCTATCCATTTGAGTGCTAAAAGTTCACAAATAGTTCGATAGGCTTGTTGACCTTTTGCAAGTTTTCCAAACGGTGGCATCTCGACTCTGTTTTTTTTCACAGTTCCGCAAGCTTTCGTTTTCTTTTCATCAGTGTTAGTACTATTGAACCCGATATTTCAACCTCAGGGTAACTGTCAATTTCTGTTTCTGCTCCGACATAAACAATAAAGTTCAGGATGAATTTCGTATCACAGTCACATAACATGAAGAGCTTCACACCAAAACGATGTCTTTTGAACGGAATGTATTGTTTGAAACTGAGGCGGCCTTTCCATAGCATCAGATTCTCACCTATGCACAAATTTTCACATGGAATTACTGCTTTTTCGAATTTCTTTTTCAAATTTTCGACGATTGGCTGGATCTTTCGCAGCTTACCTTCTTCTTTTGTATTATTGTCAGAAAAATGAAGATATCGCAGAATAGAAAGGTACCTGTTCCTTGTGAAAAGTTCTCCGAAAATTGGTGTTGTCATCAGTTTATCCGTTGATCAATAATCTTTTATGCGATTCTTTTGATTCAATCCCATCAAAATTGTGGTGACGAAAAAGATATACATTTCTTCCACATTCGTCTCGTACCAAGCTGCAGTTTTTTCGACATTTGGAGGTGCATTTTGTTGTTGATAGTTGTTACTTTCTTCAACAATTTTCTGCATTAGTTCGTTGTCGAAAAATGCTCTGAAATAGTCAGATGGTTTGTTTTCTCCAATTTCAAATTCTTCGTTGACTCCTGATGCTTTATTGGAAAATTCTAAGTTTTGAGATCGAAGCTGGATAGACGCCATTTTCTAGGATCATGTCTTTTTCCAGCACTTGCAACTGAAATGTTGTTTTCTTCATCCGTTGAGGACAGATTCAAATCGTCAAACTCTGTTTCTAATTCTGATTCCGAGTCATTCAAGATTTCGTTGATTTCCATGTGATTCAGCATCTTTTTTCTTGAAGTTGCCATATGTATAATGAAACTGATGAAGCACGAACTGTGAGATCTTACTCCACCTGAGTTTATTTCTGTATCAATCTCCCTCTTCATAACAATCTAAGGGCTATATATAGGACGATAACAAGAGCGGAAAATTCATAGAACTAGTTGAAAGAAAGTGGAGCAGAAAGAAAGGAAAAGTCCATCACAAATACATATATGACAGAATGGAAAAATTCATGACGTGTATGATTGACAATAAGAGAAACGAAGATGCAGGTCATAACACGAATGTGTAAAAAAGCAGCCGCAACGTTTACTTTGAAGAGACGCGAAAAAAATTTCAATTCTCACGCGTCAGATCACGTGGAATTTCAATGACATTTTAGAACGTCACCGGTTCCGAAAGGGTTAAACCCTCTGGACTACTCCATCTGGAATGAACTAACTCAAGCCATCAAGTAGAACCAAGTGAACTCAAAACCAACATTGATCAACGAAGTCAAACGAGCTGTAAAACAAATATACCATAAAGTTGTTTTAGAAAGTTGTGTTTGTTGAACTTCTCGATTATATCATATATCTAAAAATGGAGGAAACTATCTATTCTAATAAAAATCATATGGTTTTGTAGAGCTTCCGACAAGCTATCTTTTGAAAAAAATCAAGTCCAATGACCATAAAAATAAGAAAGAGAGAGACAAAATACTAATTGGCTATTCTTTATGGCGCACCCGTTACATTCTACTGACATCTTTGTTTTTGTCATAAATTTCTTCTGATAGAAAGACTTATTAAATAAATCAAAAGATCTGTTCTGTTTTCTTCTACCTAGTCGTCATCATCATCATCATTCATTTATCGATCCCGTTTTTGATTATTAACAATGTCCAATCCATTTTTGATTCTATTTGATTTACCTTCAACTACAACAAATCCATATTCAACATCATCTTCAAAACCTGTTTCAATCACTAATGATTCTTCTTCTGCTATCTATAAAGATATACTTGAATATGTTCTTCTATGTACAGTCGATGAACAACCATCATCATCAGTAGTTTATTTAACTGAATTAGATGTAGGATTATCAGAAAATTGGGATAAAAATCTCATTGATCAAGCTTTATTTGAACGTCTTCGAATGACAGATTCATTCAGTCAATTATTAACATCAACAACAAAAAAATCAACAATTAAATATGATCTGAATATTATTACTGAAAATCGTTGTTTACATTATTTAGCTGGTTGTTATCAAAGATTATTACAACAACAAGTACGTTTTAATATATACTTTTGTTAAAAAAAAAATATTTATTCATAGGATCATTTTAAATTGGTGCTTGAGGATATTAAAAAATTATTTATTGATCATAGTAAAACAGCAATAAGTTTACCAGATCTTTATGAAGGTCAAGATTTATCCAAACAATGGTTAGAGTTATTAATTGGCGGTCATAGTAAATCTAATATGTTTAATAAAAATAAAAAAATTTATTTTTAAAATTTAGATAATCAACTTTTATATGAATATAGTGATTGTATTAATAATGATCTTTTATCAACCACAACTGATGAAATTGAGAATCTTTATAATTCTGTCTTTCGTCATATGTATAAAGCAATTCAACCACTTGACTATTTTTCAACAGAATTGATTGCATATATTGGAGCATTAACTCATTTAGCTAAATGGCCAGCACTTGTTCGAGTAATTTTTTTAATAAATAAAATTCTCTTGAAATCTTCGAGTTATTTTTAAGATTATGTTTCGTTTATCTCATCCAAAAGCTGCGTCTAAGCGTCCTGTACGAAATCTTCTTGCACCATCAGAAAATGGTCGAGCATTGGAAGATACATTAATTGGTAGTTTTCTTTCGAAATCATGTTTACCTTCATTACCTGGTAAACCTTATTTATTCTTTGAAAAACCAAAATTAATGACCGAACGTGATGTGGAATTAACAGCTGGAAGAATGTGGCAAGTAAGATTTATTAAAAAAAAAATTATTATTCCGAGTGAATTCTTTTTTTTTCTATTTAAGCCAATGCAAACATATCAAGAAAATTTATCTCAATTATTTAAATCTTTTGTTAAAAATGTTGATGCACGTAATGATGTATTACAATGGATTGGGGATTGTTTAATGGAGAATCGAGGTAAAGAATTAATTTAATTAATAAAATAAATATTTTGATTATTTAGGAAAAAATAAGGAATGGTCTTCGTATAATCGTTCAACTGCTTATTTATATGCTAGTGATGGATTTTTATTAAATTTAAATCTTATTTTACTTAATCTTGCACGACCATTTTCTGAACCTTATTCATCGAAATTATTAAAAATTAATCCAATTTATGCGATTAGTCAAAATGAAAATGTTCATTTAAAAAGTAAAACATTTCGATTAGAAAAAAAAAATATTTAGTGTTTTTTATAGATCTTCATAAGGATACACCATTAATTATTCGTGATGAAGAAAATCTCGATGAAAAAAATAATAAAACAACGTTTAATTTTATTACTGAAATCTTTTTCATGTGTCATCTTAGTTATACATCTTCAGTTCAAAGACTTCATCGAATGCTATTAAAAGTCTGTTTATTTATTCAAAGATTAAAAAAAGGATCTATCAGAATAATTTCATTTAGATTAAAGAAGACTTATTAGATGCACAACGTGCATATAATGATGCTAATAGAGCACATAGACCTAATAATGAAGATGTGCGAAGATTAGAAGAAACAATGGAAAAAGGTTAATAAACGATTGATATTCGAACTCTGATACTACAGGAAAACGAATAATTATTAGAACCGGTTGGACCCAAAAGGTCTTGAATCCGACCCTGAGCTCGGACCAGACGGACTCTAATATTTATTCGAAAATCCTTGTAAAAAAAAAAGTTTAGAATTTAAAAATAAATATTCGAATTTATAGATCTTACGGCTTTTCTGAATATAAAAACTGTACTTAATGAACCTCGTTTATTGGATTTATCGAACTCGTTATTTAATGCAACTTGTTCATGGCTTGTTCATCTTGCATCTTTAACAAATGAAAATGAAAATGAAGAACAAATGCAAATGATTAAACAGTTACCATTAACATCAAAACATAATCGACAATTAAGTTATATACCTGAATTTATTATGGAAAATATAACAAATTATCTAACCTTTCTTGGAAAATTTAATGTACAATTATTCGAAGTAAGTTTTGTATTAAAAAAAAAACATTATTTTTATATATTTTGATATTTTAGTCTCTACCATCTCTTAATGAATATGTTACGCTCGTTCTCGTATTCATGGGTGATGCAAGTCGCTTACGCAATCCTCATTTACGTGCTGCATTAGCTGAAGGACTTGAAGCTATTTTACCAAATAAACAATATGGTGATGGTCGAACATTAAATAGGTTTGTTTGATTATTCGATCGAATTTTTCAATTCTTTGTATATTATTAGTCCATTTGCTGAATCTGTTTTTACTGATCATCCATTAATTGAACATTTACTACATGTACTTCTTGATGCATTTGTATCAGTTGAATTAACTGGACAAGCGGCAATATTTGTACAAAAATTTAATTATCGTCGTCCAATGTATGAAATACTTGAATATCTTTGGAAATTTGATAAACATCGTGCACAAATGAAAGTTAGTTATATATTATCTTTTAAAATAGAAACAAAAATTGATTTTTTTTAGAAACTTGCATCGTATGCAGAAGAACATATTGAAGACGCTGAAGCTCCACTTTTCTTACGTTTTATTATTTTCCTCATGAATGATGCAAATTATTTGTTAGATGAAACATTATCTGTAATAATAATAATAATAAAACTTTATATGTTAAAATTACATTGTTTTTTATTTAGAATATGGCTCGTTTAAAAGAAAATCAAGAAGCAATGGATCGTGGTGAATGGAATGCTATGCCTTATCATCAAAGACAAGAACTTGAAAATACATTTCGATATACAGGTGAAATGGTTCGTTATACAAATATAATGGGAGTTAAAACAGTAAGTGTGGATCTGAGCAATCTCCCCTTCGCACTCTTTTGGTTACATAAATGTTTTTAATTTTAGTTGTTTATTCTTGATATTATAACACGTGATATTCAATCAATATTTTGCAATCGAGCAATTTGTCAACAACTTGCTTCAATGCTTAATTATTTTCTCCAATATTTAGTTTGTATTTTAAATAAAATTTTTAATTAATTATTTGATTATTATAGGTTGGACCTAAACGGCTTAATTTGAAAGTACGTGATTTAAATGAATATCAGTTTGAACCACGAAAGCTTGTTGCAAAAGTAACGGATATTTATTTAAATTTTGCTCAACGTGATGAATTTTGTGCTGCTGTTTGTAATGACGGAATGTAAGAAAAAATAATAGAAAAAAAAAGCCTCGATATTTATTTATTATTTTCAAGGTCATATAATGAACATTTATTTCCACAAGCAGTTGAAGTTCTTGAACGAATTCGACATCCAACCGAAAGAATTGATACTTTTTTAAAACTCGGTGAACATATCAAAGTAAATAATCTGATTTAAATGAGATAGTTTATTTAACTGAGTTTTTTCTTTTAAGATATTGCTGCACAACAAAAAAGAAGATGATGCAGTTTATGATAATGCACCAGATGAATATCTTGATCCTATTACAAGTATTTTGATGGTCGATCCGGTTATGTTACCAACTTCTCGACAAATTATGGATCGTGCAACTATTGCTCGACATCTTCTTAAGTATGAATCTATAGATTTTCTTGAAAATTTCCCTTACCTTATATCTTAAATAGTGATCAAACCGATCCGTTTAATCGAAATCCATTACATATGCAAGATGTTATACCTCAAACTGAATTAAAAGAAACAATTGAACAATGGAAAGCATCACGACGTCGACAATAGTCATAAAATTTTGAGTTTTTTTGAACTCAAGCATTATGTGTTTTGTTTTTGTATTAAAGAAAGAAAAATATCATTTTTGTTTGTTCTATTTATAAAAGAAATAACTATGAATCGCGGGTGTGGGTATGAGTGTGGAAGTTGTGTGAAGTGTAGCCGAAAGTGAACATTCACACCTACACCCACACACCCACACCCTAAATGATCTCTTTCAATTCCTCATGGTCAACGTTCTGATGATGGTCGTATAAATAGGACCGAAAATTCAACACAAGTTAAAAATGAAATTAGAAAACAAAGAAAAAGAAAAAGAAAAAACAAAAAATTATTATTATTGTTTTTTATTATTATTTTATGTTTTAGTATTATATTCATCTTGTTTTTCATGTACTACTGTAACATGATAAATAAAAAATTGTTTCCTTTTTTAAACTGTGAAAGGTTAAATAAAGAGAAAAAAACCAATGGAAGATCAATAGTTGATCTCTTATATATTAATATATGAAGTTGCTTTAATAAATATAGCATTTATGAATTGATTGTTTGAATGTTGTCCACAATATCGTTATTCAGTCGATGAAGAGATTACCCTCCATTTTTTTTAGAACCGTGAGCATTTTATAAGAATTCTCAGTAGATGAAGATGACGAAAGATTGGAAAGAGAGCCATGGGCAAATTGTCGATTCACCAAAATACAGATAGCTATCTGCCATAGTTTCCCACATTCTACCATTTTATTGCGTCGAATTCTTCAATGTTTATCACATCTCATTCCTAGGAAACTAAATCAATCAAAGCAATGTCACACTCTAAGTAATCGCTGGCAGCGATTAGTGCAAGTTTATTCTATATCAAAAATATATTCACAACTGTGCATCGTTTTGGACAAATTTAATGAAAGGGATTTCTGGAAAAGTTCGGTTGTATTGCGGGTGTTGGCTTGTATACGGGCTTTCGATGATCTCGTCGAAATATCTTGTAGAGTGGAGACTCAGTATGTTTGGGAATGTATCCTGAAATACTTCGACCAAGATCATAAGCCTCATATACATTTTGAATCCATCTAGTGACTTGATTCTCAGCAGCTTCATTCAACTTTGTAACCAAATATTCACATATTTCTGCAACAATGCTCGATGGTTGATTGCATTTCTCTAATAGCAGCTCGTATGCTAATGCTTCTTGCTGCTTTCTCTCGAATGTAAAAGAAGACAGTGACAGCGAAAACCAAAGCCCCCAGCGATTATCTGTATCTTCTGTCTCCCGTTCCGCTTGAAGTGCCTGTATCTCATGAATTAATCGGCGATACTCCTGTTCTAGTGTTGGCTTCATATGAGATAAGCCGTCCACGATCAGGTGTTGTATTTCTTGTTTTGAAACTTCATTTGCAAACAACTCCCAAATCATTCGTTGTTTTATAATTTTGCGAGCAATCCGTCGTTTTTTTCTGGTCTCCTGTCTCTCAAAAGAGTCAAAATAGCCGAACCAATCAAAAAGTCGTGAAAATCGCAGGCTGTCATCCTGAGACTCATCAAGTGATTGTGAAGAAAAGGGAGCTTTACGCACATCATGTTGTACACAATGGCATATTTGATTTTGCAGCCGATCATAGATAATTTCTAGTAAAGCTTTGTACAATGGTTTCAGAAGTTTCCGTGCAGTAATTTTCCATCCTCGGGGGAAAAGATCGTTGTCTACATCGTCCGAATGATGGTAGAAACCGAAAGCACCATCCAACCATGAGATAAAAGGTGAATAAGATAACTGGTTGAAGATATGAATGTCAATCAGCGAGGTTAAGTTCGTCTCTTCTGCATGCTTCGAATCGATAAATCGATCATTCGACTTTAATCGGCTCATTTGTACGTATTCATTTTGGATGCTTCGAAGTCTATTCAAACGTTTAAACAGGCATGGCTTGAACAAACTAAAATAGTACTCAGCCACCTTGTACACATGATGACGAATAATTTGATCAAATAATCTATGAGCACTTATAATGAACATCACATACCAATAGATTCGATCATGCACTTTGTCATCAGTCACATCATATGCTTCTCTAATGAGAGCAATGGCAAATCGAACAGCCATGTCGTGCATTTGTGATGGTCGAATTATTTCGGCATATGAATCAGTTAGAGGATTGTAGACGATTATATCGAAAAAAGATGAATCTACTTCATCCAAAGGTGGATCTAAGTGATTGAGGAGGCCAAGATAATCCATGGGAACAATGGTTGATACTGCATCGTAGTCTTTAGGTAGACGAATAAAAATATCTCGCGTGGAGCAGAATGGAAACCAATCCAAGATGAAACGAAACTGCTTGATGTCGATATTTGGATGAATGATGAAATGTCCTTGATCATCATGTGCAGCTTCAAAGAAATCACCAGAAGAGACAAATGCAGCTAGATAAGGTATTTTGTTGATTTGATCCCCAGACAGTGTCAATACATGGCCAGTGCCAAAACGAAATGACTTGTGTGTTGTTGGCAACAGTTTGTTATCGACATTCATTACAATTGTCGATGAAAATCTGTCGTATCCATATTTGCTACACGGTTAAATATATATATATACTTTCTACTTCCGACGTGCAATTTGGAATTTTCTATTTGTTAAATTCCATCGACTGATTCATCACTTTATCTGTCGAAACATGTGGATGAATAATTGCATGAATATTGAAATGCACTATCGTATTTTTATGAAGCGTCAGAAAATAAAAATGCGACAGAAATACTTTAAAACAAATTCTCTGTTTCAAACTGCGTTTTTATTTTTCCAATAAAATTACCCATGTTAATACGACACATTATCGACACAACGGCACGATGGAGGTACAGGTAACGATACGTGTTGACACAGGTGTCGGTAGCGTGTCCTCGACAAACACGGATATAATATGGATGAAAGACAGAAAAGAAAAAAAGAGATTGTCTTCTCGTTCTGTATAAATTTCAAATTTCGTACTTAGAGCTTACAATATATTAGTTTATTTTTAAATTAGGTTCATTTTTATTTCTAGATATTGCATAATAATTTGTTTCCTTTGTTTAATTTTTTTAATCAGTTGTTTAAAAAAAACCCAGGTGAGATATTTATTAATTTTGGCTTAATTTTTGTTTCTTTTATCATTTTTTTTAATTTTTTCTATCAATTGGTACAAATTTTATTTAGAAAACATGTCTACACTACGAAAAAAAATTCCAGACATTGTTTTTAATTTTTTTGTAATGTGATTTTGATTTAAATTTTTTTATGTATATATTTTTTTTAGGTACTTCTTTTTGTAGTGTTAGTATTTTTTTTGTAAAGTACTGTTTTTTTTTGTGAAATAAAGATATTGTGCAGCAAAAATGCTACTAAAAAATATTAAATATTACTATACATATTATAAATAACTGCTAGTGATTAAAAATGGACCAATAGAATTACTTGAAACAGCGACACAGACACGCTTGCGACACTGGATATACATGTGTCGACACACTGTGACTGAAGTTACATGTGTCGGTAGCGTGTCCGACTGACATGGGAGGACATATGCAACATTAGGTGTCAGGGTGTGGATGTGTAGTGTACGTGGTGGGTGTGTGGGTGTGAATTATTACCAATGAAACACATCCACACCCATAACCACACCCACATTCACAACCACAGATCCACACCCTTCATCTAAAAGTAGTTGTGTAAATTACCGGTTATTGAAGTCGAATGATTAAGGTTGTTCAATATGCGATTGTATCGATGTATGAGTAGAGCTAGTACCCAATGAAAACAGATCAGGAGGAGAAGTAGCTATACGATGTAATGAGAATTCTAGACGATAAATTTGTCCATGTTTTCAGAAGTTAAATAATTGATAATGGTCAAGGAATTAATCTATATTCAAGTGTAATTTCTTCAAAGATTTTATTCTCATTGTTATATTCACTTTTTTTTCAAATAAAACTGACAAATCTTCTGCATCTTCATTATTCATGATCAATACTCCTTTTTATTCTTTATCTTTAATTGAAAAAAAAAATCATATTCTTGCTTTTCCTTTTATCAATGTACTAAATCATTGTTGAGATTTATTGGAATTAATCAAGTTAATTTTGAAAATAAATTAAATACTACAATATACATTGACATTCTCTCTGATAAAAGAACCCTTATAATATATGACAAATTTACCTGAAACTAGAAGTGAACGAATGATAAAATTATAACAATGATTGACAACGAAGGATTTATCTTATGAATGAATATCATTACTACAATATTGGTGAGAGTCCGTGCATATTGCACGGCTGTTTTGTCCTTTAACATATGGGTGTGAGTATGGATGTATATATGAAAGAAGAGAAGACTAGCACTTGCACCGACAGTCCCATCCATTCAGTTACATCCACAGCCAAAATAGCCCATCAGGATCAATGGATACCTCCATATGATAGTCCGTGAGGACTTATGGGTACCCCTATATAATAGCCCTTTCGTTTATAGCCTTACTTGACCTATGACTCGGCACAGACACACACATTGAACATTATATGTATAGCTTCATTGAAAAGTGGATATAATCGAATAAATTAGAAATCGAACATAATTCCGTAGTTAATGTTTAAAACAAAACTTCTTGAAAAAAACTAAATAAGGCGTTTACATTATGGGGGAGAAATAAAAAAAACCATCCCTTCATTAAGTTATTCTTCTCATCTCAAATCTAATTCAATTCTAAAAACTTCACCCTTATGTTATTCACGTTCATTATTCTTATCCAATCTAATTGAGAATTTACAAATTTGAATTTATCTCGCACAAATTCGTAAAACATACAAGAAGGAATTAGTGTCAATTTCTCTTTCCATTTTATACACGTCAGAGAAAAAAAGAAAAAATGATCCATCCTATTTGAACAATGACTTACATCTATATATTCTAAAGATTAGATGCATTGGCGCATCATAGATTGGTTTACCAATTTCAAGAGTAGAGTTCGAACGACGATTATCAACACACTTTGATTAATTGATCATCATTATATATGGATACATATGATTATTTGCTGATTTTTTGTTTTCCGTCTTTACGAATAAGAATCAAAAAGCTCTTTAATGAAATCTGATCGGCTGATTTACTAGAATAAATAAATATGAATAAATCTTTGAGATGATTATTCGAATGCTGTCTAAACAGCCACTTTCTTAAAAGTATTTGATGATCTTCTATCGATAAAAATAGACAGATCGATGTAAAGACAAGTGCATTTCGCGTGCTTCTCGTTTCTTTGATAGAATACTTTAATTGCCAATTCTATTTAGATCAACAGAAAAGAAATGAATTTGAACGATAATCAATATATGATTATATATAGATTCTCTTATTTGCAAGTGATTATATTATCTACAATCTAAAAATTTTATTTAATCGAATTTTGTAAAAGCTAAAAACTAACAAAAAAAATTAATGATACTAAACAGTGACATTTTATTAAGAATTTCAATAATGATTATTATTATTACCATTTATTGTTTTCATGCTAAAAGAAATTGAAAATATTGTTTGTCCATCAATCTTTATATTGTCAAGAAAGTTAGTCAAGCTTTTAGATATATGTATATGTTTATTTGAAAAAATTTTATTATTATATTTAATAAGTCAATATGGATATATGATGTTTTATTTTAAACCAAAATGATCGTTGGTAACTAACTTATCGATTGCTCATTTATAAAACATATTAGTTTTTCTATGAAAGTAATCATTCGAATCGAACATGTACAATATTTTAAACTTAGAATAGAAATCATTTGAATACTTAGACAATCTATATGTTGATATAGTTAGGGGTGGGGGTGTGGGTGTGTGTGGGTGTGGAGTGTCGGTGTGGAGTGTGGGTGTGGACCTTCTATTCTCTAATACACTCACACCCACACCCTGATATAGGGAAGTGTTTAATGAATTTTGCTGAAAGTCGATTAAAAAAATATTGAACGGTTCGTCTTTTATCACAGTTCTACTGAAAGCATTATAAAATCACTATCAATCTCATTTTTACGGTGGACGATATTATGTACCCCCAAAAAGTCATCAAAACATCAACCGTTTGAGCTGAAATTTTTTGTACCGGCTTGTGCATAACCTTTTGCTATGGGGGTAGTACTATCATTTCAAGTTGTGTAGCTAATGAATTTTATACCAAATTAAAGCGCGTCGAAAACTGTATGTATTACTACGAAACAGTGACAGTAATCAAAACTCGTATGCTTTTTTTAACCACAGGAAATTAAGTCGTCAGCGATTCCAAAGTAGTGTAAAATATTTTATTTTGATATTTCTACATCGCTTGATAGAACTCATCGAGCTCTACAAACTATGTATATTAAAAATTCTTTGAGCCATTTTCTTAGATGAAAGACTTTAAGAATTACTTGCAACATCTAAAAAAAAACTTTAAAAAATCGTTTTTTTCACACAAAAGAAAAGCACTCAATTTTCTGAAAAAAAATTATCTACTGGCGTTGTTTTTTCTAACAAAGTCGCTTCAAAATATACACGCTTGACGCAATTTTTCACGCTGCACCAGATGTGAAAACTTCGAAGCGACTTTGTTAGAAAAAATAACGCAAGTAGGTAATTGTTTTTCAGAAAATTGAGTGCTTTTCTTCCGTGTAAAAAAAACGATTTTTTAAAGTTTCTTTTAGATGTTGCAAGTAATTCTTAAAGTCTTTCATCTAAGAAAAATGACTCAAAAAATTTTTAATATACACAGTCTGTAGAGCTCGATGAGTTCTATCAAGCCATGTAGAAATATCAAAATAAAATATTTTACACTACTTTGGAATCGCTGACGACTTAATTTCCTGTGGTTAAAAAAACATACGATTTTTGAAAATTTTATAGGATCGGCATTAAAAGGTTTTGATTACTGTCACTGTTTCGTAGTAATACATCCAGTTTTCGACGCGCTTTAATTTCGTATAAAATTCATTAGATACACAACTTGAAATGATAGTACTACCCTCTAGCAAAATATTATGCACAACCTGGTACATCAATACCTAACTAAGTTCTGCATGCATCGTAAATTTCAGCTCAAACAGTTGAATGATTGGTATTTTATGGATTCGACGATTTGAGGAAAAATCAATTTTTTGACAAACTTTCGCTACTCATATCTCCGGATTGAAGAATGGTAAAGACTTAAAATTTTGAATACAAGCACATATCAACGCTGTCTAACTACCATATAAATGTCAGCTCTCTAGAGCAAAGTATTCGTGCAGGTTAACGTGAACAAAAATCAATTTTTTTTATCGAAAAGTGAATTTTTGATCTCGATTTTCCCTCACAACAAACCCTAACTTTTTTATCCACCTATCCAGCGTTAAAGGCTACACGTTGATCTACAATCTGACATAAAAATAAACTTAGGACGCACATGAGCCGTTTAGCACTCGATCGATTTTTTTTTGTGAAAAATGTAATCTAAGAATTCATTGTTGAACACCTTCTCTTTTCCGATTATCTCGTGATGGTTCATCAGAAAAGGCTTAAACTTGCAAAGCCGATAGAACTAACATAGACAAGTGTGAGTGTGGGTGTGGATGTAAGTGTAGAGAAGATTTATACCCACACTCTCACCCTCGAAATGGTTAGTCGTCTCTCTGATTTACAATCCAACTATTTCAAAGTATATTCACTCTAAAAGAAACTTGGGTGATATCTTTAATCGTCCTACAATACAAATAGTTATTCTACTGACCAACGATGACTAAATGGTTACATAGCGATATCTATCATATAGCTATAGTTTTGTTGCTTTGGTTTTTCTTTCGTTTCTATATTTGATTGGCCGTTAGATATGTGTTGTTCGCCAAAAAGACAAAACATATGACGGCGGTGCTTTTGTGAATCAAAATCACATTCATTTATCATCTCGACTAAACAATGCCATCAACTGCTTTAGAATGGAAATTGTTGGGCAATCGTCAATATTCAAATAATGAATTTTCAGCAGCCATCAAATCGTACAATGAAGCGATACAACTTCTTCAAACGACCGGATATGAACAAAATCTCGACAATTGTCCATTGTATTTATTATATTCCAATCGTTCAGCTGCTTATATCCAAGAAAAAAATTTTTATTCCGGTTTCGAAGATGCTAAACAATCATTATCAATAAAAAAAGATGGTAATTTCAAAAGTTTTTATCGTGCAGCAATATGTGCTTATCATCTTGGTTTTATTCAACAATCACAAAATTTTATTAATGAAGCAACAAAAAATTACAATCAAAATAGTTTTGATTATCAAGATTTAAAATTCTTAATACAAAACAAAGTTTCATGTATGGAAAAATGGCGAAAACCAATGATAACAATAAAAAAATCTATTAAAAATCTTCAACATATTATTCATGGGTAAATATTTTTTTAGAAAATATAGAACACTTATTTTTTTCTTTCAAGTCAAGCAGCAATGTCTGAGATGCCATCACTTCTCTATCATATTCGGTATTTATTACGTGCATATTTTGAGAATACAAATGATCAAATATTTATGAATATGAATACAGATGATCTCAGTTTGAGATTACGAGAATTAGCTGTTGAATTCAATAGTCGATTCGATGTTGAAGTACGTAGAATTTCGAGGAAGAAAAAAAAAATTCATCTGTTTTATTTAGAAATTCATTATGGCTGATCCATTATTTGAAGATCTTATTTTGAATGAATTGCCTGATATTGGGTCGTTACGTATTGAAGTCGAGAAACAACGACATAAACGAACCAACTGTGAGGATGATGATGATGATCCAAATTTTGTCAAGAATTTTCAAATGGCATGACGAGCCGAAAATGATTTAACTGCATATGTGAGTATTAATTTGATGAAAAATAAAACAAAGAATAAAAATTGTTCTTAGAATTTTTCATTTTTTACGAATAATCTCTTGGCATCATTGGTTGTTAAATATTCCGATGAAAATATCTCATTACGTGCATTACAACAAATTCATCATTTAACAACAAATTCAATGTATCGTTATGCACTAGGTGATGCTTTGTCGGATGCATGTCATTATTATATTTATCATAATAATTCTGATAATATTTTATTAATCGAACGTTTAGCATGTAATTCTGGTGTAGAAATTTTATTTTATGATTATGCTGAAGCAGCATGTCAATTGTCGGTATTACGTATGATTAAACAAATAACATGTGAACAATGGAAAAAACAATCATTGGCAACAATTCAATTTGTTATTAAACAGATAAGCAAAATAATTCGTAGAAAAGGTATTTTAGATTTTGATTACGTCAATGTAATAATAATGTTTTTTTTTTGTTAGGCGAAGAATTAATTGACGAGAGAAGACCATCGGAATTCTTTTTACATTTAGAAAGTATGATGGTTCGACGTTATCTTACTGAATGTGATAATAATAGTAAAGATCATTTTAATGTTATCGTTGATGTTTTGGCAAAAATTCATTTTCTATTCGGTCAACAGCCATTTTTTGAACAGTCATCGAAAGATGCCATGTTTTTATTTGTGAATAAAATGTGGTTTAATCAGTTGAATAATGATGAAGGTGAATATGAAATGGAATTTTTATTCAATGGTTGGAAGTCAATTATCACACAATGGTTAAATCTTGATTATCGTGATTGCAAAGTATACTTCGAAGAAACAGAGAACAATACGGTCGATGATGATGATGATGATGATTATTGAACAGTTTCTTTTTTTGATATTTTTGTGATTCTTCGCTCTCTATCTTTTCTTTGTTGAACACTTATTAAATACAGAAAAAACATTTCTATGAAAAGATTGATGTTTAAACAGAAATAATGACTTTGATTTGGATCAATGAAGATCTTCTGTGGAGGTATGATTGGAATAAGTTAGATAGACAATTGATATGATGACAATGGCTCTCAGTTGTGATACTCTGTTTAATATCCATCAAGAGTAGAACAATGATTCGTACTTCGTGTGTAAAACTTCCTTTACTGTTGCTCGAAAAGGTACCTGAACAACAATTTGGTCAGTATACTGGCCAAATTTGGGTGTGGATGAGGACACGAAGACATAATCCACCTCCACACACACCCCACCAGCATCGAAAACTATTGTTTGAAATTAATTTTTTGTCATCTATTTGATTTCATTCATCAGAAATGCTAAGCAACTGAATTCTTTTCTAGCCATCTCTGTTTACTCTTTCTTTCGATCGTATTTTGTGGAAAGAACAAAAAAAAGTTTCAAGTATGATGTGTTCTTTTTCAAGGAAACAAAAAGTAAAAATAAAACAAAGAGTCGAGTGTGCTGGTAACTCTCTTCGTACTGAAAACAAATTTATTCACTCATTTCATAGTGTTTTTTCTATTTTGTTGACAACACGTTGTCGGAGACGATGTACACCAATCATATAAAACCATGCATAAGACTATGTCGACTGCAACTACTAACAATTCAATATTAGTTTTGCAGGTAAATCTATTTGCTCTAATAAATAAAATAGAAGCAGTCCAGAATAAATGTATAAGATTGCTATTGAGGGCGTACGATTCTCTATACTACTAATAGTATCTTGAAAAAGTAGATAGACCCAGATTTTAGGCTGAAATCGGTTCAATTAACTCCATCTTGTAGACAATTGAATATTTAATGAAGTAGTAACAATTAGAAAATGGTGCACTCGCAGAAGTTCTTAAAAGACAGAAAAAAACACTCTTTTGAAGACATATTAAGGAATAAAACCAACAAAAATCTATTTTTTTTCACTAGAACTCAACGAACATTATCGATTCTCTTACGATTCATAGATTCTTTTCCGGTAACACATGCACAAAAACACATGTATTTAGTGCACTAGTGCTTTAAAAAACACTGCTTCTCGATATTCATTTTTTGCCTATCTAGGCTACTTTTTTGCGGGCCGCATATCTATTATGACGTATTGTTTAACAGAAAATATCGTCAATGCTTGCATCTAATATTTTAGTTAGATGTATAAACCAACGCTTACATTCACACACGCTCCCTTACTTTAATTAAGTCAAAGAATAAGAGTTTCTAAAATATATTTTTTCAGTATCAATTAACACATGAATTTTTTTATACAATATTTTGTATAAAAATCTGGTTTTAATAAGAAAAATGATAAACTTTTGTACAAAATACAAATGATCTCAAATGAATATTTAATGCAGGTCTTATTGAAAAACAACGAGTTTTTTTTTAATCATTATTGTCTAAATATTTTATGATCGAATGAGAGAAAATAAAAAACATATGGATCTGTGGATGTGGGTATATGTGAATATGAGTGTAGGGTACAGATCATGGCAACACAGTTATCCACACCCACACTCTTCAAATAATAAAATATAATCGAGTGCATCAATCAACAAGTGACATAGAAAGTATGCAAAATTCAGAAGATCTGATAACAGTGAACTCGTCAATAAAATCTATGAGAATAGAGAATCTCAACTCAGAAAAATTACAACAAATTTCCGTAATTATTGAAATTTCCTGACAATGAATAGAATACCTGAAAATTCTTATAATTTAATTTGATAAGATTCTTGATTCTCATATATGGATCTTTCAATTTGCAAGAAAAAGAAGTGAAGAATTATAGAAGTTTACGGCAACTTGTTATTTCAGCACATAGTAATTTCTATCGATTGGTAAAGAGTTAGTTCGTTTAGATGACTAAGTAGGAAAATAGTTTAAGAATTCATGATCTGTGCGTCTGTTGTTTAAGAAATTTTATGTAAATTTTTGTATTTTCTTCATAAATAGCTGTGCACATTTTCATGAGATTTTCAGTAATTTCGACATTTTTTTGCAACCTTCGTTTGGTTCTCCAATAGTTCCTTTATAAATTTGATGATTTATGAAGAAAATTTCTTTTTTTGTGAGTCTGAACGTTACATGTTATGTCTACTGACCACTAGTGCGATCAATTGTTTTGAGAAATGATGAGGCCAAAATTTTGGCAGAAAGTGCTCTTACTTTCGTAGTGTAAAAACTGGCAACGAGATGGAGGAAGACGAGACAAAGTGTGAAAGACAACGATTCTGACTCCGATCTCTTCAATAACCGTCGACCTATCACCGAATCATGCTCTTCGCCTCCATATCTACGGACTTGCCACAATCCTATTCGTTCAGCAGTCGTAACGATTTTGTAGAAAACCCTAAACATTTTTAGCAGAAAATATTAAAAGCTTTGCAGAACTCCTAACATTTTAAGAGGGGAGTATAGTCCATTCCAATCTCTCCGCCCTAATCGATAATCCTGCTACTACCAAAATTTTGATAAAGTTCTATTTTTTTGCATCAATCAATATACAGTATAACCTCTTCATAGTGGACACCTAAGAGACTCTTCCAAAGTGCCCACTATATGAAGGTGTCCACTTTGAAGAGGTTTTCGGTGTTTTTCTTAGTACTCATTTCTGTAGTCATGCAAGCAAATAAAATCCTTGTTTTCGATATTATTTTGCAATGAAAGACATTTTGAAAGTATTTTGTATGATAATTTATTCAAAACCACCTTTTCAATATAATTTATTTTGAAAAAATTTTGGATTTCACTCTGAGTAAATAAAACAATGATCAATCTTTTCTTTCACACTGTCTATTATCTGTCTCATTTAATTTTCTTTTCGTCTGTTTCTTAATTGTCTATGTTGCTTTTGTTTTCTTTGACTCATTTATTCTATATCTGCGTGATGTCTTCTTTATTTCATCCAATATTCTTATCTATTGAGTCTTTATTCTTGCAGCGTACTCGTCATAGGAACCATACAGACTGGACGAAACAGAACTGAATTAAACAACGTGATTGACCCGTTTACATTTAAATCAATTTGTAGAGATAATTTATTGGTTAATTCAGTTTTTTATCATCTAGTCTGTTTAAGAGCATACTGACTAAATTAATACACATATACATGAACAGCTTTGACAGAATCAAAAAGTATAATGAACTTAAACAAAAGCCCACTTTCGAGAGGTTGTTTACTGTAGATGGGACCGAAAAAAGTGTCCACAGTTCAGAATAGGGAGGTGTCCACATTCAAGGAGTTCATTTTCAGTAAAAACAGTTCGAGTGGACCAAAATTTGTCTGCAATTAGGAAGTGTCCACATCGCAGGGGCCTGCGGTTCCAAAAAAGAACCGGAATCGCGGTTCCGGTTCCCAAGCTTAAAAAAAGCGGTTCCGGTTCGGTTCCAAAAATATTTCAAGGAACCGGTAAATTACCAGACGTAGAAGACATTTAAGCGTTTGTTTTCCGTAATTCTTGCAATTAGTATTATAATGTAACAGAACTTGCAGTTTATTGAGACAACATTCTGTTCAAAACATAGAATAGGAAATAAAACAATAAAACTTTTTACAATACAACTTGTTCAACATATGCAATGGTTTGCAAAAAAACGTGGAACAGAGTGGGTGGGGTTTAGCCATGCCAACTACACCCATGCCCACACCCACACTCACACCCACACTCCACATTCACCCACATCTACACCCAGCAAATGCTTGCAGATACGCTTCGAATGAGAACGCGCTTTGTCAATTGAATCTACTCAATTTCACTTTCTTGGCCCTCATCTGTATGTATAAGGTCAAACTTTTCGGCTCCCCTCATGGTCTGTGGGAAAGGGATGGGTTCAAATTTCTCGCTCTATACTTCGATACTTCTTTTCAATAGTGCTTCACAAAAAAATATAAGTCAAATATCGAAGCATTACTTATTTTTTTAATCTTCTATTGACTTAGAGCTTAACCAAATAATTATAATGGCTTCGTTTTTGCTAGTATGGACTTCGTGTGAATTATTTGAATCAAATGTGAAAACATCTCCTTTCGATGTAGAACAATAACTCATACTCGGCCTATCAATTTTGTTTAATAGTCGCAAGGCGAACAAGTTCAGCTCTTTGAGTCACTGGGAGTAGAACATCGTCAGAAAAAAACAATAACATCGACTTTTTTGTTGAGCTAATATGTTTTTATTGATTTTGGTCTCTAAAGCGGATGTTAGTGGATGTACAATAGTGTACATCTCGAAAAAGTCGGTTCAGCTGTTGGTCAATTTTCATTTGCGGTCATTGTCAGAGGTGGAGGTATTCTTGTTGATTTCCATCGGAGCCCAGGTGGTAAGAATCGAGAGAAAATCGATGACTAATCGCGATTTATCATACCGATTAATTGTGAGATTATGTCGCGGTAAAATCTCTAACATTGGTGATTTTTCTCGATTTTTTTGTGCATCGTGATTATTAAAAATTCTCATATGAAACATTCGAACAATCTGATCATCTCCGATCCGATTCCTCTTTGCCATCACCCTAATAGCATCGGCTATTGCCAATTCTTCCTTCCCAACATTTTGTCATAATCTTGTCGTACGATAGATTAGACATACCTTAATTTAGATAG